GCTGCATCCCAAGTCCTCATTTGTTTCAAGTTGTTTCAGGCAGGTTGTTGTCTCTGAAAGCTTTTGATTCAATTCCTCCAGCCAGCCCTGTGCTCTTATGGGAAACAGTGGGAGATCATTCCATGCATGGGAAAGTGTCTTTGCTCAGGGCAAAATGTGCTGGTTGGTGAACCGAGCTGCATTGCCTTTGTGTCAGGATGATTTGAGGGCAATGTTGAAGCTTTAACAATGCAGAAAATAAATTCATATCTCTCTGTGCATCTTCCTGTGCACATTTTTGTGGAAAAGGGAACTGCCAAACTTGAAACACAGAGGAGCAGGGGAGGTTTTATGCAAAACTTCTGTCTGGGTGGAGAAGCCTGATTGCTTTAACCCTCAGAGACAAGGCAGAGAAAATAGGGGATCCCTATACCAGAGGCCACCATGCACCAGTAGTTTTAACTGAAATGGAAAAAAAATAAATCACTTCTTTGTTCGCAGGGAGCAAGAATGCACAGCCTGAACCCTTGCTCAACAGGAGCAGGGAAGGGAGGAGAGCAGCCCTCTGTAAAATGGGATAAGGGCAGGATCAGCCTTCCCTATCCACCACAGGAACTTCACCTGGACACTTTGATGCCTCGGCTCAGTAGTTTGGTGAGGAGCAGTCTTGGGATGGTCAGTCGGGAGCCCCCAATATCCCCCAGTGAGTGCTTTAAGGAAACTCCCATGACTTCCTCATCCACATCCTCAGCACCACCAAGGAGATGCTGAGGACCTCAGTGCAGCCTGCAACTATTTTAAGGGTGGCAGAAACAGGATCAAAACATTGTTGGTGACTTTTAGTGAGCAAAACAGGGGCAGAAATCTTTGCCAGACCTCACTTGCACGTTAAAAGGCTCGGGGAGGAAAAGGGCACTGGTGTGGATGCAAGTCATCCCACACTAGTTGTCCTCTCTGCTAGGGAGTGGGTCTGGCCCACTTTACTTACTGGTAAAGACAGAGTCGTAAATCTCAGTGATGCTGAAATGACTTACATCCTCTGTTTAAGAGATCTTTAGCCTTGGGCTATAAAAAGAATCTCCTGAGATACATGGTCAAGTTCCCCTTCCTTTCTTCCCCCTTTTTTTTTCATAACACAAAGTGAATATCCTCTGTAATGATTTTTTTTTTTTTTAAATATCCTAGTTGAGTAGTAGGAGGACAAACAGAGGGAGGTGTGCCTGTGTTTTCTCTTCAGCATGAGCTCCTAATTCCCATCCATGCTAATGGGACTGGCACGCATGCATCAAGGGGAGAAGAGACCCCTGAGGGTTCACAAAATATGCAGATGACTGGTTTTTAATGAATGCAAAATGTAAAACAAAAGAAGTATCACAGTCAAGCTGCTCATGCATAATAAAGTCACAGTGAAAAGGGAGCAAATAAATAGAGAAGTCTTCTTGGCTATAACCATCCTTAATATGCAATGGACAATTGGGAACAGCAGGCCTTCCGAACCCCACATCATCAAATAGCAAGTACATTTTGGCAACATGAAACCACCTACAGCAGCATTTCTCAAGCTCCATCCCACCAAGTTATGGGAAAAATATTCAGGCCTTTCCCAATGCACAAATTTCAGGGAAAGCAAGAAGGTGTCCCCGAGGAGGCTGGAGAGCTCTGGCAGGATATTACATCGAGGCAGCGGAGTCAGAGCCTGTGGAGAGGGCTGGATGCTCATCTGTCCTTGCTTTGGGAGGGGTTTCACCAGGAATTCAGCGAAGCAGAGCCACAGACAGAGCAGCCACGCTGCAGGGCAGCGTGAAAGGAGGGAGTCGTCCCACCAAAGTCACTGCAATTTGTTCACTTGCTAATTTGATGGCATTCTGGGCAGCAGACTTAATTAGACGTAATTTGAGAAGTCCAGCATGGGAAGCTGCTCAGAAAGATGCTGCTCCCTCCTCCTCCTTCTTTCCCCAACAAGCACATGCCCTCTTTCACATCTCAGCACTGAGGTCCTTTCGAGATGGGACTTTGCTTTGTCACTGCAAATAAACACACAGAGAACCTGCTACCAGCATCATTTATCAAATTCTGTAAATCCAGGCTATGCCTCCCCCTCTTTTTGTGCCAGCCTCCAGTCCTTGAGTCCTTTTCCCTCAGTTTTACCTTCTTGCTCTACTGGTATAGTCCCAAATACAAAGTTATGGGATCCTAGATTGATTTAGGTGGGAAGGAATCCTGAAGATCCTGCTCAACTTGATCTCAGCTGGGAGAAATTCCCCTCCAGGCTGGGTGTGGCATCTGTGTCCAAGCACAACAGCATCCTACTCCTTGGAATGAGGTTAGGCTTCCTAATAGAATGAGATTTTTTTTTTTAATCCAGGTCCTAACTAGATGTGACTTCTAGAGGTTAGCCTAAATTTTTTGCTTTTGCCTTACCCTAAATTGAGGGGACACAAGATCCCCTAAAAATCCTCCTTTCAAGGGTTTTCTAGGGATCATCAAATGAAGGATAGCTGGATGGCAACATGATTAAATCCCTCTACAGTGACAACACTTACCCTGGGATGAAAATATCAGTGAAAACACAAGGTTTACCACACCAAAATGCAGTACTTAATAAACCTTAAAATAAAAAATTAAACCTCAAAGTAAAACCCCTAATAAAACAGTTTTCAGCTCTTAGAAAAATCACAGAAATGATATCTGTGCTCTGTATCAGGCAACTAGGGGAGAGATTAAAGAGAACACATGTATAAATGTCATTAGCATGCTAGCAGTGAAATAAAAAAACCCTCTAACTTTTAAAATAAATGAGCTGCTGCAAAATAAACTACCTTACAACAAAATGTACGTAGGGGATATACAAAGTAAATTAAAAAACAGATTAAAGCAACATCTGTATATTAACACCATCATAAAACAACATAGTAGTAATAGCAGTGGCATGCAAAGGTATTATAAAATTATAATCTATCCAAGATGTTATGTCATCTTAATGAAACTGTACAGCCAATACATCTCAAGTATTATTCCTCTATGGTTCAAAAACATCCTGTTTTCTGCAGTTCTGCAGAACTAGGCCTGCACCTCAGTCCTGGTGCAAGGGGCTCACCTGCTCACAGGCTTGCACAGTGACAGCCAGTGCTCTCAGCACAGCTCACTAGTGCAGTCTATTTGCCTTCCATGCACTTTTAATTTTGCATCATCATTTTGCCCTTTTCTCCTGCTCCTAATCTGGGAGATGGAGCAGGAATCATCTGTTTATCCCTGAGTTTGCAGGAGGTACCCAAGACATGGGCAGGATGCAGTAAATTCCTGCTCCACAGGTAAGTTCTGGAGAGGAATTTGGCACAATTCCCATTTCTTCATAGAAATGTTTTTTTCCACCATTTCATGTCCTGACATACCCTCTCACTGATTTATTGAGCTGAAGACTCATGTCAATTGGTAAAAACTCATGACTTGCTGACATCCCTGTCCCTTTCCTTGCCTCTCCCTGCTGCCTCTGTCAGGAGATGCAGAGCCTTGGGTTTTTGCATTACAAAATTTTCACCACCAGTGATTGGTAAAGCCCATTTCTCAGCATTGTTTGGTCAACTAAAAATGAGACTTGACAGTTTTACAGGTCTTTTCCAAACTTCCAATGATTCTATGACTGCATGTCTGGTTTTGAGGGGAGTCCTCCACTAGGGAAAAAAGGCGGAAAACAGGATGGAGTAAATGGGAATTCCTGACTTCCCAGGAGGAATGAGCAGGCTTAGGCCATGTGCACATCACTGACCTGACTCTCATGCAGGAAACAGACTTGCCTGGATTCCTCCCACTTGAAGGGAGGTGCTTACAGGACACAGTTTACTTTGGGGAGTGACCATCCCATCTCCATTTGTCCTTGACAGAGAAAGACCTGCAGAGTGTGACTCTCTCCAAGTACTGCCCTGAGTCTCCCAAGTGCCTGGAGTCTTTTGGTAGGTGCTGAACAATGCTGAGGTTTATTGGCACAGACCTGTAAAAACACCTCAAAAGCCCAGCATTCCCATATTCTTAATCTTACCACTGAAATCACCTACTAGTTTCTATGGGGGAGTTATGGATACTCACCACCTGTTCCTGTTATTTACCAGCTGAAGTATTGAAAAAGTTATGGGAGACCAAAAGAGCTCCAAAATCTTAAGAAAAATACATAACGTGCTGTAATCTATTAATAAAGTCGAACAATACATAAAAATACACAAGTACTACTATTCTGAGTAATCTGCTCTATGGGACTCTGCTGGGGGCTGGACCTGTGGAAAACAAGGGCTTGGAGCCAAAGAGTTTTGGAGGCTGGAGGGGCATCCTGGGGAGGAGTCTCTGTGTCTTCACCCTGTTCCTGTGTCCTCCCCAAGGCACTGAGTGTTGGTCACTGTTGGATATTGGTCTGGATTAATCTTCAGCTCTTTTGTTCTTGTGCAAAAACCTTACAAAGGGCACAGTAAGCCGGCAAAACAAAAAGAGATACTCATTCTGCATTTGCAACTTCCCATTAATTTTCCATTACACGATGCCAAGGCAGTAGAGGGCTGAAAACGTCTCCCTGGATTAGGACTAAAATCTCACAGATATTATTAGCATCACACAGCACAAGAGTCTACATTTGCTGCTATCACTAACTTAGCTCATTAATGACTTATGTAGCAAGGCTAATGCTATAAGAATTATGCAATATATATCATAATTGCTGAAGCAACTGTGTAAGGCTAATGAGAAAGCAAAGAGCCTGCCTATGTGGCATCAGGATGGAGAATCCTGGTATCATGTGCCTACTGGTTTTATGTGCCTCATTTCCTTTCCAGATGCCTATAGGTTCTTAAGAAAAAAAAGGATGAGCAACTTTTATACAGGCAGGTATTGACAGGACAAGGGGGAATGGTTTTAAAACTGAAAGAGGAGAGATTTAGATCAGATGTTGGGAAGAAATTCTGTACTGTGAGGATGGTGAAACACTGGGACAGGGTGCCCAGAGCAGCTGTGGCTGCCCCTGGATCCCAGGCAGTGTCCAAGGCCAGGTTGGATAGAGCTTGGAGCAACCTGGGATAGTGGAAGCTGTCCCTGCCCATGACAAGAGGTGGAATGGGATGGTTTTTAATGCTCCTACCAAGCCAAGCCACTCTGTGTTTCTGTGCCTTCTCTCTTGCTCACAGAAAAAGGGCTGGAGAAAGGAGAGGGAGCAAAAGGGACTGCACAGCAGCAGGTGTGAGCCAGGTGTTGTAAGTCTGTATTCAGTAGGATGGTGGTGGTGATGACTAAACCTTGCAGATGGCCATAATTTGGCTCACCTCCATTCTGCTCTGCAGTGGTGCCTGAAAAACACCAAGCATTTCTAATTTAGCCTCAACTGTGTGGCTATTGTTATACCAGGCAAGAGAAATGCAGGGAAACAACATCTCTCAATCACTGTCCCAAGCTCACAATCCATCAGTGGTGGGTTCACCTCCTCCAGCTCTTCCTGCCTTTGCAAAGACATGCATGGCCATGAGGAATGTGACATCCTCATCCCAGCATCCCCCCTGCACCCCAGAGATGTGCAGACACCTTTGTTATCAGACCCTCCGTGTGTGAGAGCCACAGGTATGATTTTCTGTTATTCCCTGACCAAAGGAGATCTGGAGATCTCACCCAGCACAGCTCCAGCTTTAACCACGTTAATCACACCAGCTCATACTCCATCCACCATGGGCTTTGTGACCACCTCTGAAACAAACCTACTGATTTTGTTGCTGTTTTGGCTACTTGGGGTTTGTTTTGTTTTGTTTTTTGGGGTTTTTTAAAGTGCAATACTTCAAGTGAAGTGCAGAAGTTTTAATAAGAGAGGAACGATCATTTTGTGGATTTCACTGCAGTGTGAAGAAACCAAAAAGGAGGGGTAAAAAATGGGAACATTTGCAGCTTATGGCAAGGGAAATGAAATATTTAATAAGCAAAATGCTGTATGTGCAAGGAGGGCTCCCCCAGCCCCCCGCTTTCTTCCTTGGCAGAAATTAAACAACTTTTACACACCACGTAGTCTTCAGTACAGTATGCTAATGATGTCCCTGATGCCCTCTTCATCTGATCAAACTTAATTGTCTGTGTCAGGCTGCCAATTAACAAAAGGATCTCCTAGAGTACCAACTTCCAGAGCTACCTTAAAGGTTAATTGAATCATGTAAGCCCAATGCTCTGGCGGACTCAACTTCAGGATCCTATTCTAACCAGGGGTCTGTAGGGGTAACAAATAAAGGAAAAGTTTAATTGCTAAACCAGCCAAATCTAACAGTCACATTAGGAAAGAAATGATCTTTCACAGCTCTCCCTCATCTTTTTTTTTTTTTTTTTTTTTTTTTTTTTTTTTTTTTCCAGAGCTTTGAAATAATCTTGGGCTTTTTATTTTTTGGACATTTCAGGCAGTTTCTAGATTTCACTACCACGGGTAAGCAGGAAGAACCAAACTTTGGTCTTTGATGTGTATGCAAATTGGGTCAAAGAAGATGCCCAGGTAGGTCCATATGTATTATTTATTCTTTGAATCACCTGCCATTTTCTGGAATGTTCCCCAACCAAAAGCAAAGTGGCAGTGGGTAGAGGGTGACAGCACAAGAGCTGTGGGGATGAGAAATCAACAAGAAGTGCCATCACTGAAGGCATCAAAACCAGCTAATGGGTATTCCTGTTTCCTCTCCATCTGCCTCCTTTTCCAAGGTATTTGTTAATAGTCATTTCTTTTGGTTTCCCACCTTTTAACAAACATATTTTTAAGGTGTCCTTCTTGCCATTAGAGACTTGAATGGCTGCTTCAACAAGGGTGAACTGAAAATCAGTGCCATAAACAGGAAACACTTGTTATAAAAAAAACAAGTATTATGTCCGGGTTGGGAATAGGGACCCCAAAGCCACCAACTGGAGCGGGAAGCCTCCGTTTTTTTTGGGATAACTACTTTTGTGGGGAATTCTGTGTTTGGACCAAGTGTGTCATCATCCCTGTTTGCCTTGGTACCCCAGTGCTGAGGTTTTAGCTGAGCATCATGTTTTGTTTTTCTAGTCCCCAAAGGGCAATTTTGGGCCTGAAAGTGCACAAAACCATGAAGTAAGTGGTGACAAATCAAGGAAATTTTAAATTAAGTCCATGAGTATGTGAACAGTCCGAGGACCAAACAGAAAAGGGTATCTCTCACTAGATACACCAAAGCATTAAAAAATAAAATGATAAAAACTGTCAAATAAAAAATAAAAATACCTTGCCAGGAAGATTTTATGAAGGCATGCAGTGACAGTCCTTGCAGAATTCACTTTCCTTGTGTCCTTCTAACCCCAGTGTGTGTCCAAGTGCTCCTCCCAGGAGGACATGGAAGTGACCAGTTCCCCTTTTCCACTGCCAAAATAAATGAGGTGAGGAACATGGCAGTGCCAGGGGAGGTGGAGGTGTTAGAGGCCAGGACTGGGAATTTCTGCCTGTCCCTACTCCCCGTCCCTCCTTTCATCTCAGCTGGCTTCTGTGGAGGAGTGACCTGGGAAGGGATTCAAGGATGCTCATGGACCACGCTGCCCAACAGTTCAGTGAGGAGGGGATTCTTACAACTGCCCTGGAGAAATTATCTCGTTTTCCCCAAAACATCCTGGCCATCCCCTCGATGCACTGAGTGTCCCTTCACATCCTGAGCCACGGGTGAGCTAAGCCAAGTAAAACCTGCTGCATCACCTAAATAAAAAAAAATAAAATAAAAAAAAGCGGAAACAAAATAGTGCAGCCAAAATATCAGATTGGAGCCAGGTGATCTTTTGATCTTTAAGGTCTTTCCCAAACCCAAACCATGATTCTATGATTCAATGAATGCATTTTAAACTGCAAATCCTAGGATAAAGGGCTGTAAGGCTAACAGAGCCAATGCATATTATAACCATGGGTGATATGACCTGTGGGTTTTTATCCAGAACTTATTCCCTATATCATTCATTTTCAATTTGCCCTTTTTTTCCCATTTAAATATATATCACTTTAATAGTGTAGGCTTGGTAGAAGTTTCCCCTTGCTCAAACATTGTGGTGCTCCTACATAATGCCTCCTGCTTGCTCTTAGAAAAAAAAATGAAATCCAGAATCACTAAAAATCACTGCTTTCCTTTTTGGTTTTTTGAGGTTTTTTGTTTTGTTTTGGTTTTTTTTTTTTGTTTTGGGGGGGATTTGTTGGTTTTGGGTTTTGGGGGGGGTCTTTTTTGTTCTTATTTTTTGGGGGTATTTTTTTGTTTTGCTCTTTTGGGGTTTTTTTGGTTCTTTGGGTTTTTTGTTTTGGCTTGGTTTTTGGTGTTTTTTTGTTGTTGTTGTGGTTTGTTTTGGTTTTAACCCTTGTTTCTGTTTTTATTTTTGTGTTTTTGTTGGGGGTTTTTTGGTTGGTTTTTTGGGGGGGGGTTTTGTGTTTTTTTGTTGTTGTTGTTGTTGTTTTTGTTGTTGGTGGTGGTGGTTTTGGTTTTGGTTTTTTTTGTTTGGTTTTGGTTTTGGTTTTTTTTGTTTGTTTGTTTGTTTGTTTGTTTGTGGTTTTGGGGTCTTGGGGGGTTTTTTGGGGTTTTTTTTGTTTGGTTTTTTTTTTGTTTTTTGGTTTTTTTTTTCCACCCCTGTTTTGCCTTTTCCAGGGTTTGCCTTTTGCAGGGGCAGCTCCCGTGGCCTCCCCGGGCCGTGGTGATGCTGTGGTGGCTGGCACTCAGCTGACATTGTCTGCCTGTGACAGCAAACAGCAGCAGCAGCCCCTGGAACAAACTCCTGCAAACTGATCCATTATCAACGGCAGGGCCCTGCTGCATCGCTGCCGGGCACAGTAATTAATTTCCATGCATATCATTGCCAGCATCGCTTACTGATCCGGGGAGCAAGATCAGAGATGTCACTCCATAAATTGAGTCAGAGCCTTCACCTCTGTGTTCAGCGTGCAATTTTACACGCGCTTGACAAAGTAACAAACAGGGGGTAAAAAAGGCAGCAGCTCCCCAGGGTGATGGACGGGGGGAATTGGCCCAATAAATTGTTCCCTGTAAAAAGCAATGTTTTCCTCATTAAAAGGCAGTGAATTCTCTATTGCTTTTCATTAGTTGTGGCCTTGCTAGACGTGAGGTTTAATTGGCAGTGTGTTTACAGGACGCCGGCCCCAGAGGTGAAGGAGACAAAGAGGCTGAAAAGAGATTCTTATTTATTAAGGAGAGGTGACAGGCAGCCGCTTAATAAGTTTTTGTGTGGGTCCTGGAAGAAGTTGCACCATGAAGAATGGCTGTGCAGGTGTAACCCCTTCTGTGCCATTGCTTCGTGCTTTTTAACCATCAGAATCTGGATTCTAGATAATTCCCCTTCTTGCAAGGCAAATAAATTGAACAATTCGCTTTAACAAATAATAAAATAGCAAGGTAATGATAAAAGCAAGCTTGCATAAGTTTCAAAGGCCCTGGTTCAATGCTCTGCTGTCAGGTTCCTTTGAAATACTGAAGCATCCTCCCTCTGCTTTGGGTTTGTAACAGAGCGTGTTTTGGGATTACCAAATTGCTTTTTATTTACAGAAGAGTACAGATGCAGGGTCAGTCCCTACACACCCCAGCAAAGTGTGAAAAACCCATGGAACACAAAAATACCATTTGCAGAAGGACAAAACTTCTGTGGCTGTACCTCTGTGGGCAGCAGGGTCTGCAGAAAGACCCTCAGCACAAACCCAGCAATTAAATAAAAAAATTAAAAATTGTCATATAGGAGTGCAAGGATTAAAGTAGCTCAAATAGAAAATGCAAAAACCAAGCTGTTCTATAAGAGTGGAAGGGAAGATCTCTCTGCTGATGTCCAGATAAAGCTATAGAACAGAGCTAAATGGAAACAAAAAAGGTTATGACTTGGCAAGCAGCATTATCTATGGCATTTCATCCAACAAAATATGCACTCATCCGTGAAAGTTACATATATAGTAAAACAAATCCAAATTTTGGCAAATTCTGACCGTCTGTCTGGCTTTGAAAACACAGTACTAGAATGTTGTAGTGATTAAACATGCAATAAAGAAAATAAAATAAAATTTTAAAGCACAAGTTCTTGAAAAAATAGGCCAGAGTACCTGTCTGTGAAGGAGCTCAAGTGTTACAATTCCTCCCAACTTAGCCATCAGAGAAACCCTCAGTCTTATATAAAGTATGTTTTGAGTCCTAGGACCTGTTTGTGATCCAAGACGATTTTGTTTTGTCTCTTAATGATGATATCACAGAATCACAGAATCATTAAGATCAGAAAAGTCATCTCATTCCATCAGGTCCAACCATTCCCCCAGCACTGCCCAGGCCACCACTGACCCCTGTCCCCAAGTGCCACATCCACATTGCTTTTAAATCCCTCCAGGGATGGGAACTCCACCACTGCCCTGGGCAGCTGTGCCAGGGCTGGACAACCTTTTCCATGAAGGAATTTTCCCCAATTTCCAACCAGACCCTCCCCTGGCCCAGCCTGAGGCCGTTCCCTCTCCTCCTGTCCCTGTTCCCTGGGATAAGATCCCAAATCCCCCCGGCTGTCCCCTCCTGTCAGGGAGTTGTGCAGAGCCACAAGGTCCCCCCTGAGCCTCCTTTTCTCCAGGCTGAGCCCCTTTCCAGCTCCCTCAGCTGCAAACTGCAAAGTAGAAAATAAGAGCTTCAAACAATATTGCAAATCAATGTTCCAACACTTATCTCCATTACATATTTTTTTCTCTAATCAACATATTTAAGAGCAATACGGCCATCCTGGCACTCCACAGCTTGTTGTGATTACAAGAAATACTGGTGGAATGGGAGCTTTAAAATTAAGTAGCATGGAGTGTCCAGTAATTAATTTGATTTTTACATCCATTCTTTATTTAATGCAACTTTAAAACTACGTTAGAAGCTGGAAACGAGCAGTGTAGCATGAAAATGAACTGGCCAAGTTCCAAGTGAGGCAGGGATTAGCATAATGTTAAATGTTGAGGATTGCCCTCATCACTGAGCTGGAGAGGGGGGTGGATACAAAGGAGGAAGAGATCTTGCTTGTGCTTATCACCATAAAACTGGAGATCAAAGCATGGTGCTGTGCCATGCAACAGCAGCACCTCTGCTCCAATCCTGGCAGAAGAGAGGGTGGACAAGGAAGTGGTTACTGGGGTTTTACCAGAGCTTGGAAGGAGGCTTGAGTCTGGATGGGAAGGCTGGAGCAACGAGTTTGGATTTTCCCTGGGGACCATCACGCCTGCTCTTCATGGCTCATCTTGCATTTGTGCCTCCCTGAGTTGCTGCAATGATCCTATTCCCCAGGGCCAACCTGTTTAATCTTTATTTGAGGGAGATTCCTATAGAGGCTGCAAGGAATATTTTCCTGCACTAATCCCCATATTCACAGCCTTTCAAATTTTTTTCCCTTTGCTTCGTTTAGGTGAGCTGCCCCATGGCAACATCACTCCTGTGATTCCCATCACCTTGCAGTGGTTTTGGAAGCACAACTATTATGTGACAATCCTCACCTTGTCACCCACTGAGGGACACCTCCAATGGCATCCAGCCATTCCTTGAACACCTCCAGGAGTGAGGACTCCACCACCACCCTGGGCAGCCCCTTCCCACGTGTAATCATATTTTCTGTGCAGAAATACCTACTGGTGTCCAGCATGAACCTCTTCTAGCACAGCTTGAGTCTAGGTCCTCTCATCCAAATATTAATAATGTACATTAATAACAACATAATATGTAAAATAACAATATAATAGGATATATAAATTATCTCAAGAAATATTTCTGCAAGGAAAACAAGCATTACAAAAATAATACAGTGTTATAGCAATTTCTCTTGGAGTTTGAATTGGTTCTTTAGGGTATCTGTAGGTAACCTGTTAACAATTCTCTGGTACCTCGTGTGTCCATGCTCTGCATCTTTTTTGGGGTATCATCTTCTCCATTTCTTACCAGATGGGAATGTTTTTGGGGCAGGATTTGTTCTGGTCATTGCTGCTGCTGTTTGCTGATGAAGTTCCTGTACTGGGGAAGTTGTTTGCTGCCAGGTTTGGAGTCAAGGAGATGCTCTTGCACACTCTCTGCTGTGATGGTTCATGGACAACTTCAGTTTCAGGCTCTGGCCCCTCTGCCTTGGGGTTTCGCAGGCACAGCAGAAGTCACCAGCCCATCAATGGGCTATCCCCTGCCTGCCTGGGCTAGCTGGCTCTTGGGACTGTGCCTGTCCACCCCTGCTGCCCTGACACAGCCAAATCCATGGCCCAAGGATGAATGAACACCTTGTCAAACCTTGGGATCAAACACAGGGGCCACACACCCCTGCAGTAACATCCCCTCCCTTTTGTCCCACCTCCCTTCACTAACACTGCACCTTCACTTCTGCATTATATTAAACCCCTGGCCTTAAATTTCAGACTTTCAGCTGCCTTTGCTGTTAAAGCAGCATAGCCCGAGCAGATTTAATGTCACAGGTTGCTGAGCCTTGCTCAGGGACCTGCCTGATCCAGTGGAAGGTGTCCCTGCCCATGG